CATTTATACAGAAAGTAAAAGCACTTCTCACGTGTCCATCCTTTAAATACAATGAGATGAAAAGCTTTGTAACTTTATGTTGGACTTTAGGCAAATAAATCACACAGGGAAACAAGAAAAGACAATGAAGATGTCGCTGAATGTGGAAAAAATGGCGGTTTTTGTCATGTCTGGTCAGTCCTACAATGGATTACACAAATATTCTACTTATCCACCCCTGTAGTTTTTTAGTTTTTCTATTTGAACTTCACTAAGTGCTTTCACATATCTCTTTTCTTTGCTCTATGATTGACTGCCTCTTTAGTTATCCACACATCGTTCCTACAGTTATTATGTTATTCTCAGGAACAACAGCCTTGGCACCCACACAAATATCAGGTTGTATGAAGTCTATTTAGCTGTCAGATTTTATTGGCCCTTGCAGACATAAAACAGCAGACAACCATTAGCTAGTCTAGATGTATGGGATGCTCTGCCTTTATTTTGCTTGAAGGACAGATCATTAAAGACCAAAAATGAGGAGAAAAAGTTGAACATATTTTCTCAGGGCACCATGGGGGAAACTAGTTTTATTGCTGCAATTATAGTTTTATAATGTTTTAATCATTTTCAAGTAGAAGGAATAAACTAAACCAATAATAAAATGAACTATATTGACATTTGATGAGTGGCTTGCTTTTAAAGTTTGTCTTATTCTTTTTAGCTTGCCCACGTTCTTACTTAAAGTTGAATAAATTAGACAGGGAAAAAAGACCATACTTTCAGATAGTGCCAATCAGTTTTTCAATATGAACTTTGGGAATGGTGGGGGAATACAGCCTTTGTTCAGTGAACTGAAGCTTAAACAGAACAGGGCTGACCTTTAAAGGCAGCATAGCAATAGCTATATCCTGGAAATTGACAATCCAATTTTTTTTTTACTCTACCTTGTTATAAAAGTCTAGTTTCTGTTCTGTTAGCAGTCTCAAGGCTGCGCAAAATATTTAAAAAGAAATTCCTGGCATAATTGCTCACCCTCTATTGCTAACACTCTGGTTGGGGTATTGCTTTCTCTGAATTAAATTCAGACAAAATATTTCTTTCTTTAATCCACAGTAAAGGGAATACTTTCCAAACCCATCCATCATTTCTTTATGTATTGACAGAAAAACAAGTAAAGTGTGCAGAGTTTTAATGAAATGAGCACACATGAGTGGACATTCAGTTTGCAGGAGAACAATCGCAGTTTTGCACAGTTTTAACAAGCTTTAGTCTTTGACAAAACCACCTTAATATTTCAGCACAGCCTGAACTTTTGAGCAAAGTTCTTGTAATTTCCTTTTGTAGTCTTCAGGAATAGTTCTCCAGGCTTCTTGAAGTATAATCATAAGCTCTTCTTTAGATGTCGGCTGCCTTTTGTGCCATTCTCTCTTAAGTCAATCCCACACTGTTTCGATAATGTTGAGGTCTGGGCTCTTGGGGGGAAACATCCCTCCACCAGACCAGATTCCATTGATTTTCTTTCCACTTTTTCTGTCATTTTGGTCTGCCTCAATCTTTTTCTCCCTGTTTCCCTTCCTAAAGAATGCCCTCATGGCAAACACTATTCCATGGAGACCATTTCTTATGAGGCTTTAGAGAACATTCGATGGAGGATCAGCTGAAGGATTAGATCCATCTCTCAGGTCTTATGTCAGCTCTTTTACCATTACCTGCTTTAAGGACATCACTTTCGAAAACTAGTATTCTGTTGTAGATATTTTTTATTTGTGTTGTTTTTTTTCCCCCCAAAAAAAATATTCAATGTTTCATGCTAATCAACAGCAATGTAATATCAACTTAAATTTTACTCAAAGCTATAAAAGGGCACATGTTTTAATATTCATATTTATTGGATGATTCCTCCTAACTTGCCACATATTTTGATGATTTTTTGTTATTTTTAGTTACATCTGCCATTTACAGGAAAATGTCTTTTTTCCAGAGAGGTCTCCAAAAAATGTTTTTTTGTTTGTGAGGAAAAGTCGACTTCTTCCAGCCCCCCAAAAGACTGGGATCATGGATCAGTGGGTGAAGATTGTTTGTCCTGGCCAGAAACACAGTGACAAAAAAATGCTTGGGTTTGTTTGCTATGCCTCACTGACAACTGCTTTATGAAAAAGGCACAATGCAGTGCTATTGCACTGATATCCACTCATCCATTCTCTGTCCCGCTTATTCCCAATGGGGCCGCGGGGCCTGGAGCCTATCCCAGCTGACAACGGGCAAGAGGCTGGGCACACCCTGGACATGTCACCAGTCCATTGCATGGGCACACAGAGACAAACAACCACACAGACTCACTTTCACTCCTAAGGGCAATTTGGAATGTCCAAACAACATTGCATGCAGGTTTTTGGACAGTGGGATGATACAAACTCCACACAGAAGGGTCCCTATTTCCCTAGAGACTCAAACCGGAAACCCTTTTGCTGTGAGTGCTAATCACCACATTTCACAGATATGTGTAAAAAAAGTTTTTTTGCAAGGGCACTAACAGGCCACCATTTTAATGCATTTGCTAAATGATCAACCAAAATTAATGAAGTATCTGTGTGTTGCTTTTTCAACTCCTCAGAAACATGGAGTCACTCACAAATAGCCACTGGTTGCATTTACGCCCCCATGCACTTTACATAAGGTGTACACAGAAAAGCAATTACCAATTTAGCCTCGGGAAACAATATATTTGATGGCAAAGTGTGTTTGGAGAATTGTTGTATTTATGCAGTCAGTTATCTTTTTTCACGAGTTGTCCAAACTCTCTGACAATCAACAAAAAAACCCCCAAAAAAACCTGTTTATGTCCGTGAGCCCCCATCATCTCCTCCTCCATGTTCTTAAAAAAGGTGGAAGCTCTTCTTTCTGAAATTACTGTCAACCTTGTAGAATTATGATGGGAGTAAATCTAAAATTGACACAATATCAGTTGATAAGGTCGGGTCCACTTTAAGGTTTCTGTTACATATAGAGGCAATACAGATTGACCCCCTTAAATTAGTTCTAATAAGAAAAGAAAATGGCTGGTGGTTGGCAGAGGAAAAAACATAAAACATTCCTTTTGAAATGATCAGGCAAAAAAAGAAAAGAAAAAAGAAGATGGATGAAAAATATATATAAATATTTCCCTCAGCCCCTGGTGAATTGTTACTGAATGTGGAGTATTTCACCTCATTACTTTGAAGGTAACAAACTCATCCACTTGTGAATGTCAGCTCTCATATAGGCCACTACCAATGGCTGATGTACAGAATAGCTCCAGTATTACCTCTTTTATGCGGTTGTTGTTGACACATCCTTTTTTTTCCAAAGTACAGATGTAGTAATATTTCTCCATTTGGCATTAGTGTGTAATGAGTAGGTATTTGGCAGATCTGAGTCTTTTCTCCAGCAGGTGTCCACCACTCTCTTCTTTTCAAATTGGTACTTGTTGGTTGAATCCTCTGGAAACCAGTTAAAGAGTTCAAAATCAAGCAGCTCCTGCATTATTCTGGCAATCTATTTTGTCAGTGTCAAGTGTCTGACCATTACTCCACCAAACTGCCTACCCGTACCTCTTATCTGTTTCCATTCATTTGCTCTCAATACATCATCTTCAGTCAGATATCATCCACCTAGGTCCACACTGTCTGTCAGACAATTGGATATTTCAAGAGAATAATTAAATAACACAAAATCATTCAAAGCCCTTCAAAGCCAGAGATAGGCCGTATCTCTTATAAATAATCTATTTCTCTCTTTCACGATCACGCTCTCTTTCGGTTAGTTTCTAGTTCTGTTTTTTTTCTTTACTTTTTTTTTTGTTCATTTGTGCATTGCAGTTCAGTTTATATTGCACGACATTGTATTTGAGTCTTCAAAATAAAATTGACTGAAAGAAGAAAAAAAGTGCAACAAAAACCAGAACATGTGGATTTTGTCTTGTGTCAGTGTTTTTTGGGGTGTCATCGTTTTTAAAATACAGGCTAAAATAAACGCCATCTTCAGCAGTTTTTCATCCAGCTGTTGAATTCCCATCGGAATTGTCTTTTCAGCTTGAAAAAGGAATTGGAAGAAATAGTTGCAGGCTGAAATACTCAAGTGACCAAATCATGGAGTGACTTAACTCAACTTATGCATTTTACCTTAGAAGCCTCAGTGGCACATAATTTTCTAAAAAAAATGGTTTTCATTAAAGCTTCTCTTGTTTTCTTTGTCACTTTTTACCGCTTAATATTTTACTTGTACTACTAAAACAAAGATTTGACCAAAAAAAAAACCGCTATGTGAATAAAACAGAAACCTTAGAATCACAATAATGGATAAAAACAACATCTTGAAGGCTACGAAAGAGCAATTGCATGAATAGATGCTGTAGTGTTTGTGTAAGAGGTCACAATTTGCTTTTAGAGTTTGTTTCTTGTCTTCCCCTTTCCCCCAGTGTCTTACGAGGCTTATTTTTTTGTCATAAAATGGCTGCAAAGTTACAGTGCACACCAACGGGACTTATTCTCCCCCCACAGAAGACACAGCTCTTGATGTGCTTGAATTGCCTCGTTTGTGGTCCAAGCTTTTCTTCCCTCCCTTGGCCACATCACCATGAAACAAATTTGCATAATGCCTGCCTAGTGGGTAGTTTGGCAAACCTCAAACAAAGAATGAGCAGCTGCTTCTCACTCTACTGTTTTCAACAATTACACTGACCAATCGGAGCAAGCCGAATGGAGGAGCATCCACATGTTAAAGTGAACTTTAAACTTGAGATCCAGCTAATATTAATGGCTACTTTTTATTAAAACACTATCTTTATTGTTTTTATCTATTTAAAATTTGAAAAAAAAAAAAAAAATCAGCACTCCATGGGTTGAAATATATAACATGAAAAACATCGTTTTTGATGATGATGTTGTTTAAGATGTGACCATTAAGTGACAACAAACACTACCTCTTCTTTCTACTTTTCATTTAATTTTTCCAGAAACCCCTCAACCTCCTCCTTGCACTTATGTTTCCTGGGCTTTTAGAGCTTTGGTTGCAGGCACTTCTGCAGGCTGCAGCCAGTGGCACAGAGCGATGCGGGCTGGGACCGCCATGGTCCTGCCCCACACTGATGCTGGCTTCAGGGGATTTAGGAGAGGAGCAGTGTTTCACCTGAAAACAGAGCTCTGTGGCTCAGAGGCCCTGCAGATCTGGGTCTCCACACTTTCCTGAGCTACTCTTTCTTAGACATCTACCCCATACATGCATCAATACATGCTACTAAACCAAGAAATTTCAATTCATCAATTTTTACATTTTTTAACATTTCTTTGAAGTCCGTCCATAAGAGAAAATGAACACTCAGTCATCAGAAGTTGGCTTGTTTTGCACTGTCAGAAAACTGATGTGTGAGGAATGTGTGAAAAATGGGAATTGCATGAGCCTCACTCAGTGGGAGTTTAAAGCACTGCAATTATTTTACATGAGGAAATCAACTATAAGTGAAGCTGCTCTGACAGGGGGCGGCACGGTGGTGCAAGAAGGTTTTTGGTTCAAGTCCCCAGGGGAACCAAGACCTTTCTGTGTGGAGTTTGCATGTTCTCCCTCTGTCTGCGTGGGTTCTCTCAAGGTTCTCAGACTTCCTCCCACTGTCTACAAACCTGCACGTTTGGTTGACTGGACATTCCAAATTGCCCTTAGTGAGAGCGAGTGTGTGTGGTTGATTGTCCTTGTGTGTCTCTGTGTGGCCCTGCGATGGACTGGCGGACTGTCCAGGGTGTACCCCTTTGCCCAGTGACTACTGGGATAGGTTCCAGTCCCCCCAGCGACCCCATTAGGGAAAAAGTGGTTATGATAATAGATGGATGGATCCTCTGACAGGAAGTTACCTCCAACATACATGTAAGATACATGTACATTTAAGAGACAGGTATGTTCAGCAGTGTGAGACGTGGCCCAACAAGAGAGTTATGAGATTCTGGCATCAGATCATTTCTATCCCAGGTGGGACTGAGGTCGAGAAGATGATTCACAGCTGTCACTCCAACTGATATGAAGCAATAAAGTTCGCTGAAAAACTGTCGATACCCTGGATAGATATTTTTCATCTGTGATCAATTTGCCAGTGTTCAGCTTTACTCACAACTTTTTTAAACTTTTTATTTTTATTTTTACCATGTCAGAGGCAGACTACCATCTTCATAAACATATGAACCATTTATGAAATCCATTAATAACCATCTTACTCTGTCATAAATCATACAGCTGGGCAGCCAGTCTGACTGTAATTATTGCTGAGCACGAAGCAGAAGTCTATGATTAGGTTTAGTCATTATGTCCCTTCATGTGATTAATCTCAGCTTTGAAATAATAAATGGGAACAATGAACCAATTCTATGTCAGTACATTTTGAATTGTGAATTTGAGCGTGACATATCATTACACCACACTTTGACAGAAATGTGTTTGCTGGTGTTTTCCCACTCATTCACGAAAAAATACAAGAAATCGATGCTTCGTCGTGCTTTATTGTGTGTGTAACAGAGCATCTAAGAATATCCCTAATACATTTGAGAGATAAGATGTAACTTAACAATTTTGCTCCACTTTAAAGGGGAAAAAAAACTTTCAAAATCAGATCCATCATTCTAATGAACAATGCATTATCAAATTAGCATCCTTTCCATTCAGACTACATGTTTGGACACAGTATGAATCAACATCGATTCCTATTGTCATCTAAGCAGCTCTTTCTTGCTGAAATGACAAATTCTTTTTTTAAATTATACCATTTGTGTTTCAAATTGTGCTTTAAAGTTTTACTGAGTAGGACATATCCTAAATACTAACTGTAAAAAGGTTTATGGTGCTGCCAAAATGATCTTTGAACCCCCATATATCATTTTAATGATAAAAAAAAAGTCCTGCAGATGTCTAAATTCCTATTAAATGTGTAAATTTGTCATGATTGCAACTGGTTGTATGTGTTGCATCTTATCGACCTCTGTGTTCAACGATTTCTCTTCATTATTGGGTTAATAAGATTTTGATTAGGCTACATATACAGGATTAAAAATCACCCCTGACTCCCACCACAACACATGGGGCCCCTTCTTATGTACAACTCTGACTTCCAGACAACGCTGACTAATGTCTTGTGTCACACAGGGTTTTATGGGAATCTTTTTTTTTCTCCACAATATCTCGCGCAAGCAAGAATCTGTCCTGTGGAATGAGCAAAAGCATATTATTTCCAATGCAAACCCTATTATCAAAGACACACAGTCATACATTATTTAGTGAATGCTAGTTTCATAAGGCTGGTTCAAAAACAAACATGAATTATTCAGACATACACCCTTTTTTTCTTGGTTTTCTGAATGCAATTAACATTAAGGACAATCAACTCATCACAAATCAAGCTATAACTGTTCTGGAGGCTCAGGGTTTTGCAGGTGAGGGGGGAAAAAAAAGGAGGATAGAATTCCCTGACTGATATGTCTAATTGCTGTCCAGTGTCGGTGTTCATTTCGGAGTGAAGGTTGAATCTTGCGGGCTTATTGATTCTAGGCCAGGATAAAGGTTTAGCTATTATTCTGCTGGTGAAAGGGGATCACCCTTTTTACACAGAGAGATCAATGAAGAGCCTCCAGCTATAATTACCATAAACTTGATGATGTTATTATTACGATTACATGCACTGGTGGAACTGATTATAGAGCCCATCAAATGCATACCAGCACACCCTAACCACACACAGACACACACAGACACACTACATGTCAGTTATAACTGATCTCTAATATACAATAGACAATGATACATATATATATGAACATTAACAATTTATGTGATTGGTGATTTATATATTTATATATTATATTTTTAAATTTACAAATTAGATTTTGTTGCTTCATGTACCACACTGTGACCTATTACTCTGACATCTGTCCATACACACCTCAAAAAGCAACGTTAATAGTGACTACTGGTGTTTTAATAGCCACTTATTTTGTGCCAACTGTTTTCTAAATGTCACAGGCCACAATCCAGATGTCAACTATTTCACATGAGGCCTGGAGGGAGCATGATAAAGGTTGCAAATGTCAGCTATGTCTGATAAAGTTTGGAATGGCAGATTTCTGTTATCTCTGCACTTGGTACAGGAAAAATAAGGACTGACCTGACCAGTGGAAGCAGAAAAATACAACCACATTACAGTTGGGGAAAATACCATTACCTTTGTATCCTAAATAATGTTAGACCTTTATAATAATAGTTTTCTAAAGTTCTAAATTCAAGTCACCTGTCTTACTTTGTTTCCCCACTCCAAATGCATTTCAGATGAGAATTAAGCCCAAATTATTTTTGATCATATTCATCTGTGTCTATAATTGTATCAATTAGCTGTGGATTTGTTTTAAATACATAAAAAGAGTTTAATGACAGGAAATAAAAAGAGACTAAAATATCACGTCAAATCATTCAATTTTCACGTGATGAAATAAGACAGCCCTTCATTTCCTGCACGCTGGACATTATGAATCAATGCCGTGCAGAAAATCGATAGAATCAATCAATACAGACAGTCCAAGAAATGAATAAGCATGTAATAACTTGGTTAGTGCAGTTTGTGGCATGTACTTTAGCCTTTTATCTAATCACACTTTTTCCTTCACAATGTGATCATGGAGGCTTGGCTTACCAATCAGCTGCTGTTTTTCAAACTGTTGAGATTTTCACACTTACTGAATGCTCGAACGACTCTCGGAATATGAATCGTCTCCCTTTTTACAAACTGATTTTATATGATTCAGACAGAGCCAAAAAACACAAATGAGCTTTTTTTTGGTGTAATTTGTGTCTACAATACTGATTTCTCATAAAAAAGAAAAGAAGAGGAAGAAAAAGTGGAATGACAAACACCAAAGCAATTCAATTCAAAGCAAGATAAATATACGCTGGCATCATCATCTTAAAGTGCATTCAATGACACAATCAAAAAAAAAAGAAAAGGACTGTATGTCTAATTATTACTGTGTTGATTAGCCGCTGTAAGAACCTTGTTGTAAAATATTACTGGCTGCAGATTGTTGTGTGATTTCTACATCACCCACAAATGCCACAACTAGCAATTACAAAGATCAGGGCAACAACAGTTACTGAAATTTAAATGACATTACAATTACAAATCAAAATATTGGTGATTAGGTTATAGGGACTTGCATCTGTGTATGTAACTTTGGCTGAATGACTGAATATTTTACATCAAGAACGGTCTTCATTTTAAAGAGGCCTTGTCAGACGGCAGACCTGCAGAACTGGGAGCGAAGAACCTCAGTAATCGTAAGGAGGCCTTCCAGCTTCAAAGATCTGGAGATCGCCCAAAGAGGGGCGATGTCTGAAACCTCAGCGGATGCATACAAATAGCTTGTTAGCAATCAAGCTTTTTGATTGCTTTGATGGCAAATTATGGCCATGCTGAGAGGGGTCCTCTGGCCCTTTTCAACATAGATTATCATTAACATCTCAAGTGTAATGTCTTACTGTTTTCTCACATGTTTATGCAATTATGCAGTGCCCAAAAAAACAAATTTGTCTGGGATGGTTTGATTTCATGCTATCCTGAATATAATGGATATAAATTGATTGCTTAAAAAAATTAATATAAATCACTAGGAACAGACTGAATACATTGATCAAAATCCCATTTAAGTGAGTAAGATCACAGAATGACACATGATCTGCAAAATAACAAACTATCACTGAAACTCTGATACCAGTTCATAATGTCAGCATGTGACAGCGCTAGATTTACTTTCAGTTTCATCAGATATTTTTTTGCAAAAACCCTCTCAGACTGTAATGTTCTAATTCTGATGTGTGACATTTGGTATGACTATAGCAGAGAGGTACACAGAGCAGTCACATGGAATATGTGATGTCAAGTGGGGCAAAGAAATTCCAACTTGTTATGCTATATATCTTTTTTTTTTCTTTTTTTTTGCCACTTGGTAGAAATAAAAAAAAAATCCAAACCAATCTGTCTGTCAGATATTCATTCAATTTCCAAGGCCCCTCTAGATCTGGAGACTTTTTTTTCTAAGTTTACAAAATATACTTTATCTTTTGTGAATGA